CTATTTGTTATCTTACTTCTATCATTGACAGTCCCTCTAGGTTGTGGGCTGCTTGCCTGTGTTCCTGAGAAGCATCTACGGTACCAGTCTATAGAGTGTGTTTTCTTTAGTGAATTACCAGTATGTTTACCGGTAATAAACTTGCACTGTTTTATGTATATGTTTGATTACATACAGCCTTGTGACAGTTTTCCTGCATGTCATAAGCATTTGAATATAAATTAAAATGTTAAAATCAAATCTGATATTGTTTTACCTTTTATTTGGTGTGTGGAAGGTGTGCGGAAGAGGGGGTAGTCTTATACGGCGAGTATATAACAAACTCTGTATTTTGAGTGGAAATGTTAGGAGGTCGTCTTATACGCCCAGTCGTCTTATACGCCGGCAAATACGGTAGCTTAATGCCTGCATGTGGCGTCACTTCCATTCGCTAGTTCCTTGAGTGCTGCATCTGCGAGTGCTTTGGGCTCCGCAGGAGCAACATCCCACGGGGTCCTGCTCCCTGGGGCTCGCGTTCCTGACACTGCGCACGAGAGTGTGTTTGGGATGCACCCTCACTTGGTGCTATTGGTAGCTGGTTTGTCAAAATCAATGAGACTGGTTTCCAGGCTATTTTTCTGCCATCACGCTTGGCTGCCAGGATGTTCTCTTGGCTGTGGGCAAGTGGGTGGCGTTGCAGGCGGAGGAGGGGGGCTGTGCACAGTGCGAAGGCTGCCTGGCCTCGGAGCCCCAGGGAGCTCGTCCCGAAGGTGAAAAGAGGCCGAGACGTGGCCTGGAGTCCACACTCCGTCCCTCGAGAACACGCGCTGCAGGACCAGGGTCCCGCTCACCTCGGTGCACTGCACGCTTGCCTGTCAGGGCCCCTCAACAAAACCCCTCTGGCTGCCCTGGCCCCTGCTGTGGGCTCCATTCTGTCAGGGCACCTACTTAGGTTTTGGGTTTCATCCCCAGTCCGGGCTGACTGCTGCTCAGGAAGTGACCAAGGACCGTTGAGGTCCGTGTGCTCTAGTCATTCGGTGGGGAGCTGGGGTTCCATTGCTGACATGGCCGACTCTGATCCCCGCTACCCCTGCTCCTCCATCGAGAGCGACTTCAACTATGGCAGCTGCGCGGCCTCC